AGATTTATTTCTTATAAATTATCAGTTTGAGCCCTATTAACCTCGGGGTTATTAGAGGCTTACATGGTTGTTAATTTCAAGATTAATAGAAATAGTTGAGGTGCGTGCAAGCTGACCTGAACACTAATATTAATATTAATAAAAAAAAAACCATACCAATTATGCTACGCTACATGTAAGATTTTTATGTTAATTTTTAACTTAAGAAAAAAATATCACATCTTTGGATATAATGAAAGACAAATTTAAAAAATATATCAAATGAAAAATATAAAATAATTATTAAAACTAATTAAATGTTAAAGCAACGAGCTAACCTTCCAAATAATATTTTATTCTGGTTTCTTTTTATATTTTATATATTTTTATTTATTTTATACTCGATGTTAATTCTAGTTGTTAAGAATAAATATTTTTTATTTTTTATAAATGAATAATGCAAATATAATTTATTTATATAAAATAAAAGTTGAAAAATTAAAGATAAATTAAACATGAGGAAAACAAACAAAAAAAATATTTTGAATTAAAACATAGAATTTGAAAAAACATAAAAAAAAACAATAAAAATAATCATATTTGGATCATTAATACTCAAAATACAATTCTTAAGGATATGACAATTTGTTTAATGACACAGTGACTATCCAAAAAAATTACCCATAAAATTACCTGTAAAAAGTTAAGCTTAATTCAAGAGTCGGATTAGAATCGTGGTTTTAAAGAGTTAACCAGTTTTGATTATTTTAGATTTTTTCTTAAATCTAAACCTATTCCAGATGTTTATATAAACATCTTTTAGGCAAATTCATGTAGTCTATTTGAGCTAAATCTTCATTTATTAATGTCAGATCATTACCATCACCTAAATGCTTAGAATCCCTTGTGTTTATAAGCTCGACTACATCATTCTCTCCTAGTTATGGGTATCAAAAACTTATTTTTTAACTTATTTTTCACTTGAAAACAATAAAAAACATCATAAGAATTTCAATAAATCCATTTTAACCTGAAACACTCTCTAATAAGAATTTCAATAAATCCATTTCAACCTGAAACACTCTCTAATAACTTTTAAAGGCAAAAATTAGATAAATAAAAAAACTTATGACTCTTGATTTATTTATTTTTAGTATAGCTAAAAAGCAATGCAACCTCCATTGAAATACCCTTAAAAAGACAGATCAATTAAAACCAAGTTTACTCTTTGTAATGATTGGTATGTAGTTAGTCAATTATTTTCTCTCTCCTCAATCTTTTTATGATGACTATTTTCAATATCTAAAGGCGGAAACATGACAACAAATAAAGTTAGGATCTTAAATGTAAAATGCTAAAACAATAGGGATCAAATAATATATAAGCTAAAACTTTAAGAATCAAAGTGAAGTTTTCCAAGTCAAAATGAAAAGAGGTATTTTCTATTCTTGTTCTATTTTTTTTTTAATTACAACAAAAAAAATTCTATTTTATGGAATTTATATTCAATTTATCATCAAAATATTTTTTAATACTCCGTAAATGTGAGAGCATACAAAGCGGAAGAAATCTCAACACATTATACCATATTTATATAATTTGGGATGGTAAAATTGCAAATAAATAAAGTGGGGAGACTAAAATGAAAAACAATTCTGGATGAACAGTGAATATCCATGTAGATTCCCCCTAGAAGATAAGTTTCTTTTATTATTATTATTATTATTATTATTATTATTAATAAATCTGACAGACTTTGAGGTGCATGGCTCAAGTCACTCGATTACTTGACTTGGATTGCATAATTGCTATTTGCGAAACGCTCTGTCGTTTAAGCCCTATCACCTCACCGCAACAACATTTGAAAAGGGTCCTCTATTAATACTTAGAATACAATCAAAATTCATTATTTGTTCTTGAGTCTTGGCGGGAATTTATTTTAAGTTAACATCCAAAACCAGCACTAATCTACAACCGTTTCCTCATCAAGAACACGACGTTCTATGTTGCCGACTAATGCACACTAGATGTTTGATATATTAACACAGTGAACTCCAGTTCACATTTTCCTTAAAATCTCACACCACTTGCAATGAATATCACTCGTCTTTCGCGTGCCATAATCCCCTTCAACCATCAAGTTCGCTACTTTGTTAGAGACCCATTTCCTAACAAGCTCACCCATTACCTCCGCCGTGCCGAGCTAATTAATTCAATTAGACTTGTTCTTCGTTCAGACAATCCCAATTCACTCCAAATCATCATCAATACTCGTCTTTTGGACACTTTTGTGGTCACTCAGGCTCTACGTTCTGCACCTAATGCTGATGCCGCTCTTTCTTTTGTTGATTCATTAAAGAAAATAGATAATACAGCGCATCTTTCTCGGCATCAAAGTACCCTCCATGCGCTGGCCACGGTGCTAGCCAGGTGGCAGCGGGGTTTGGAACTGAAAGCTTTGATTGGTGAAATTAATGAGGGGAAATATGGTAATGTTCGCTTTAGTTTTATGAACCTTATGCAATGGTATGCTGCCACTGGAGATCTAGAGGCAGTTTTAGATGTTTGGAAGCAGTATAGAAACGGTGATAAGCGTGTGTGTACTGAGTCATATAATATTGTCATGAGTTTGTATGCTCAGAAGGGGAGGGATTGTGAGGCTGTAAGGGTTTTTTATAGGATGATTCATGAAGGGGCGATTCCGAATTCTAGAACATATACAGTTATGATTGAGCATCTTGTTAATTCGGGGAAATTGGATCCAGCAATTGAGATTTTTAGTGTATTGCCGTTAATGAGGATTAAACGAACTTTAAAGCAGTATTTGGTTTTGGTTGAAGGGTTTGTGGGTTTGGAACGGTTTGATGGAGTTAGAACTTTGCTGGATGAAATGCGGGCTGATGGGAAGTTTCCTGGCCGTGCCATGCGTAAGGCCCTACATTGTTTGCGAGGGGCAGGGTTCGTTGAGGAAACAGAAGATTTTCTGAAGGAAATGTTTCCGGACGAGAGAATCAAGAGTATAAGCACTTGTAGGGATATCAGTTTTGGTGAGGATGCTGATGAGGATGAGGATGAGGAGACTGATGAGGATGAAAACCATGGTGGTGCTTTTGCAGATATACAAGAAGTTCGGTTGAAACCATGGTTGGACCCAAGAGCTTTGGCTAAGGCCTTGAATAAATGGAGCCCTGATGTGGTGTCCGCATTGCAGGATGCGAAATTTGTTTGGACCACTCGGTTGGTTTGGAAAGTTCTTAGAAACATTAATTCACCAGAAACAGCTTGGGATTTCTTCTGTTGGGTTGCTTATCAGCCGGGATTCACTCATGATGTTTATACAGTTCAACGAATGATGACACTTTTAGCGAAACATGGAAAGGTTGAATTGGTTGATCAACTCATAACCAAGATAAGAAGTGAGGGAATGAGGTTGCCTTTTAGCACCATCAGATTGATTATTGACTTCTGTGGTATTTCAAAGAATGCCGATGCTGCTCTAAAGGTCTTCCGCGAGGACAGAGCACTCTGTGGTCCCATAACAAAATATAATCTGATGCTTTTGTATTCATCTCTCATACGAACATTGACCAAGTGCAAGAGAGATTCTGATGCCATTGACGTGCTTGAAGAGATGATTTTATGTGGGATATGCCCAGATATTCAGACATTTTCTGGATTGATGTATCACTTTGCATCGCAAGGAGATATTAAAACCGTGCAGAAACTGTTAACAATAGTTCGGCAGAGCGATGTAGAACCAGATGCTTACATGTACAAAGTATTGATCCAAGCTTATTGCAAATGTGATAGAGCTGCTCTTGCATGGAGGATTTTTGAAGACATGAAGAACTCAAATTTGATACCTGATGTTGCAACAAAAGATTTGCTTGTGAAGAGTCTTTGGAAGGAAGGCAAGCTGAAAGAGGCTGCCACTGTGGAAGAAAGCTGCGACGGAATAAATTCTGTCCTTCCACTTAAACAGCATGGTCATAAATGGACATTGAGCTCTGCGGATCTCGCAAAAGTCTATAATCTCTATTCAAACAGTTTTAAGTTGAGCAATGGCCACTAGCTAGTGTTTGCTATGGATTAAGAAAATAAGCAGTGGTCACTTTAAAAACCATATGTTTGCATTCCATTATATCATAATATTATAGAAAAACAATGCCTTCTTCCTTTGCTCTTCATCTGGATTTGAATTTATTAGTGTATAATCCTTCCCTTTGTGACTACAAAAACAAATGGAGTTCTAAATTATTTTATATGATAGATTATGTCTAGATGAGTTGCTGGTAAATGAACAGAAATAACCCGAACAGGTCATTCCTCATTAATTCCGGTGGTACTGCTTGTGGTCAAATGGATCAATTCAAATGCGACTGCGTAAATCTTGATTCTGACACTCGTTTTTGAGCTTTGTTATTATGCTGAACAAGGGCCCTGCACTGCGCTCAACTTTTTTTGGCTTTTTTTCCCTTCCCCCTTTTTGGTATTGATGTCGGGATGAAGTTCCCGCAGAGAACCACTACGAACAGCAGTTACTGGGTGCATTTCAGTCTCTTCTTGTACATCTTCGTTTCTTCCCAGCAGCAAACTAATGAGCCACACGTGAGTTTTCTCGACAGACTTTTGATTTAAATTCATTTTATTGATTTATTCACTACCATTTGAGCTATGAATATCATATATTTTTAGCTATAAAACATTTATTCATATCAAAATTAAACATATTTGTAATTCAGTATTCATTTATACTTAGATTAAGAAATATTATAACTTAAATCAATAAACTTTAAGTAATATAAGATAAAACTTAAATATGATGGCTAAAAGTAATAATATTTTTTATTTTATTATATAATTTTTATTAATCAGTTAATTTTTAGTGATTATAATACTACATAATAATTTATTAAATTAAATATTTATATTTTTTTAAAATAAAATGTTGAATATTTATTTTTCTTAATAATTTTTTTATTCTTCATTATGATATGACACAACTTACACACTTTAATTTTGAAAAAGAAAATGGAATCCATATTCTCCCATGTATTTTTGAAGTTATGATAGCTTAGGAAAGAGAGAATGCCGTGTCTCTCTCTCTCTCCTCCTTTCTCAAGCCACTCAAGGATAAATGTGAAAGAGATAATTGATCCTTTGATTTGGTCGCAAATATCAGACTGGAAAATCCTTTCGTTTGCGCTCTCTGTCTTTTTTATGCTGTCTGTTGTGATTATTTTGCAACAAATGTAATCCAACTTGATAGGATATTTCTGACAACTCAGGCAGCGAGTAGGCAGTTTTGTGGACAGACCAACTGAGTTGATTCTACAGAGCTTACTTTATTGGTCAGACTCTGATGCTACAGTAGGGAAAAAGTTTTTAAAAATCATCTGTGTAAGCAATCCTGGAGCCATCAAATTAGTTGTTCGCTAAACATTGGCCCTCTGACTTCCATGGACTTCTGTCATGATTGATTCCTTTTGGTGTATTAACTTGTCAGCCAAGAATATAATGTGTATTTTAGGGGAAAAAAATTATTTTTTTTATTTTTTATCATGTCTGCATCAAGGAGAAGATAACCAAGAGAATCATTCAAATCAAAGCTAAAGACAACGCCTCTGTGTATTCATTAGAATAAAACCTCCAGGCTAAAAATGCTGCTTAGCTTTTCTATCAACCTTAAGCGACACTTGGCGAATTACGTTTTTATTTAGTTCATCTGAAAGCTTCTTTCAAAATCTGAACCATCCAAGCTTATGTTCATGGCAATATCTTTGCTCCCTTTCTTTTCCACACAAGCTCTTCTTCTCTTGATCCTTTTATTTTCCTCCACATATGTCACCTCACAAGCACCACCTGCCTCAAACTTTTCATGTACTGTTGATTCACCGACCACATGCTCTACATATTTCACTTACCTTGCCCAGTCACCAAATTTCTTGGACCTCGGAAACATTTCTGATCTATTTGGGGTCAGTCGTAAGGAAATAGCAAATGCAAGCAACCTGGAGTCTGAGGACACCCCATTATTTCCAAATCAACTTTTGCTTGTACCTAAACCTTGTGGTTGCACAGGTAACCGATCTTTTGCCAACATAACTTACCAAATCCGGCAAGGTGAAAGCTTCTACTTGGTTTCGACTACTTCATTTGAGAACCTCACCCGTTCGCAAGAGGTGGAAGCTTTGAACCCCAGTCTGACTCCAACCCTCTTGCATGCTGGTGACAAGGTTATATTTCCTTTGTTCTGTAAGTGCCCTTCAAATACTCATTTGGAGAGCGGAATTGCTTATCTCATTACTTATGTGTGGCAACCTAGTGATGATCTCACGAAAGTTGCTGCTAAATTTAATGCCTCTGAACGTAACATTGTGATTGAAAACAACTATGTGAACTTTACTGCTGCAGTCTACCTCCCGGTATTGATCCCTGTGTCCCAGTTGCCAGTTCTCTCTCAGCAATACCCCTCTCCTGAAAGAAGAGAATCCAGGAATCGTTGGATCATCATTGTTGCTGCTAGCATTGCAAGCGCTCTTTTGATCTTCCTTTTGATTGCTTTTCTGGCCCATAAACGTCGTTCATATAACAGAACTAAAGCTTTGGATCGCGCTGGATCTTGTTTGGAGACCAGCGATCTCATTCAAACAAAGGAACTTACAAAACTGGAGAGTTTTGAAGCAAAGATCACACCAGATAACCTGCTTCCAGGGGTTTCAGGCTATCTGGGCAAGCCGATCATTTATGAGGTTAAAGAGATCATGGAGGGCACGATGGATCTAAATGAACATTATAAGATAGGAGGATCAGTATATAGGGCCAAAATCAATGGCCGGGTCTTGGCAGTGAAGAAAACCAAGGATGATGTCACAGAAGAACTAAAGATTTTGCAGAAAGTCAGTCATGCAAATCTGGTTAAACTAATGGGGATGTCATCTGGATTTGACAGAGAAGGAAATCGCTTCCTGGTCTATGAATATGCAGAAAATGGGTCGCTGGAAAAGTGGTTGCATCCCACCTCTGAATCTTCCTCATACTCTGCGGGTTTCCTCACTTGGAGTCAAAGGTTACATGTAGCACTAGATGTGGCCAGTGGCCTGCAATACATGCATGAACACACTCAACCAAGAATCATTCACAAGGATATTCGAACAACTAATATTCTTCTCGATTCCACATTTCGGGCGAAAATAGCAAATTTCTCAATGGCTAGACCTGCCACAGACTCATTGATGCCAAAAGTTGATGTATTTGATTATGGAGTTGTTTTGTTACAATTGCTTTCTGGAAAGAAGGCCATGGTAACCAAAGAAAATGGCGAGATTGTTCTGCTGTGCAAGGAAATCAAAGCCGTCTTGGAAATTGAAGAGAAAAGAGAAGAGAGTCTAAGAAAGTGGATGGATCCCTGCTTGGAGAGGTTTTATCCCATTGATAGTGCTCTGTGCTTGGCAAACTTGGCAAGGTTGTGCACTCTGGAGGAGTCTTCAGAAAGGCCAAGCATGGCAGAAATTGTCTTTAACCTCACAGTTCTCACTCAGTCATCTCCTGAGACATTTGAAAGATGGACAACTGGGATGGAAACAGAAGATTTTACTCGACTCAACAGCCCTGTCACAGCTCGTTGATTTAGCATAGAAGTAACTGGGCTGACAAGTCCAAGTAGATCTCCTACATCCAATTCTTGCAATGAAAATCAGTGTACATTAACAATCTTTCAGTTTAAGTTATGGATGGTTTTATAGTGTGAATAGAGCAATGTTTAACCTCATAATGAGTTTATATTCTGGCTTATTTTCAATCTATAACATAATAGAACTGTAAAGTGAAAGTATATATGCTACTGCATCTGTCAATTGAACACTATATAGGTCAACATTTACATCAGAAATTGACCCCCCTCCACAAATATGGTTCTGATATATTTGCATCAACTTGAATCTTCAACAGTGAGGAGACTATTTCACCCATACATGGTCTACTTTCTGGTTCTTGTTCCAAGCAGGCTAGACTCAACTTCACCAGTCGCAGGACAAGTTTCATACTACACTTCTCCATCAGACAAGGATCTATAAGGCCACCAAGTTGAGCTTCTCCTTCATCTTCCTCCATAATTGAAATTATTGCTTCCGATAATTGCATTTCTTCTTCATCCTGTATAAAAACTGCTTCCTTTCCAGTTACTAATTCCAGCAGAACAACCCCGAAAGCATATACATCAATCTCAGGAGCCACCAAGCCATATTCTACATACTCAGGAGCCATGTAACCTTTTTCCCCCAACGCCCACCTCATTGAAAAATTCATGTATTCTTCTTGCTTTGCTGAATGTGCACAGCTGAAGTTAGCAATTTTAGCCCTTAAATGTCTGTTGAGCAGAACGTTGCTGCTACAGATGCGCTTGTGCACACATATAGGATCAGTGAAGTTGTGAAGATAGTGAAGCCCATTAGCAACATCCAAGGCAATCTGAATCCTAAAATTCCAACTTTGAACTTCAAGACAATCCTTTCTGCAGAGCCAATCTCTCAAAGAACCATTCTCCATAAATTCATAGATAAGGTAGGAACCCTCCTGATGCTCACACGCAGCATAAAGCCTTATTAAATTGAAGTGGTTAATATTTCTCAGAAAAATCACCTCATTAGATACATCTTTGCTCATCTTTTTTATCGCTACTACTTGTCCACCGAGTACCCCTTGATAGACGGAACAACTCAACCTATTTTCGGTGCTGAAATCTTTGGTGGCCACCCTTAGCTCCTCAAATTTGTAGATTTTCAACCCCTGATCTACCTCAGCAACGTGATGTCGGAATTCTTCTGACATAGATAATATCTTTTTCTCCTTTCTATCCTTCCGAGCTCCACATATTTTCTTTTTGTAAAGCAACAAGACCATAGATAAAATGAAGGACATGACTAGAAAGGAAATTCCAATTGTGATTGTTCTTTGAGATCCCTTACCTGGTCTCTCGATCCGATGAAATGGATTGTGAGGAGAAGAATTGGGCGGTAGTGGATAGTGAATTATGGTTTGAGAGCTTGAGGGTTCATTTGACAGTGGTATAAGAATAGTGGTAAAAGGAAAAACAGTTGGATTATCTTCAGTGAACCCATTTGCATAGGTTACACTGTTTGTGCTCGCATTGAATCTCCTACTGACATTACGAACTTCATCACCCCAACTGACCAAGTAACTTAATAGATGCTTTGTGCCATTTTTGGTTTGATTGCTAGTAGGGCAAGCACATCTAAGTGGCACCTGCAGTTTCATACCAATATCCAAGCCAAATTCGCTATAATTGTTTTCGTGAATAAGAGAGCTACAAGTTGCTAAACCCTCATAAGTGTAGTTGGCAATTGTAAAATATGTATCATAATTACTTGGAATTGTGTAAGAGGTGTTGGCCTGATAGTATTTCCCTGAGCAGGAGCAAAGCACAGGAACTATTACCTCTCTATCTGTTCGGAAGACAGCTGAGCTTGAGAAATTGTTGATGCGAGCAAGCTCAAGTGGGTCTGCAGAGAGGAGGTTTGAAATACTAGAGATTGTGTTATAAGGAGGCTGAGATTTGTAGATGAGAAAGGCTTGGCAGGATCGATTCCTGCCGTTGCAGGTGTAGAGAAAAGCTGGAGATGGACTCGTTGCATCGCTGTTATCACAATCCATGACCGCGTTTCCTGAATAACTTTGTTGGGCATGGAGATTTGGAGATAAAAAGAACAAAAATAGGAGACTCAGAAGAAGCTGATTCATGTTGGATGCCACTTTTCAAAAGACTTGCAGATTTGAAAAATTGAAATGAGAGAGTGTGAACTTTGAAACTCAGCTTCCCTGGATTCATTAGTAACATTAAATAATTTTGTTGTCTGTATCAGCTTGGCAGAAGGTTTTTATAAGAATATCAACTTTTATATGGTAGGTATATGGGGTCGTAAGGCTCTAAATTAAGACCAAATCAATTACAAATAATTGAAAAGAGGAAAAATATTCGAAGTCCGTTGCCTTTTTCTTCAGTTTCTGGAGTATTTTATCAGGTTCATGACATGAGCAGCAGACAAGAGGTTGCAGAGAGATTAGAATAACTAGAGAATACATTGCATTCTCTTGAATCAATAAACAATTCCAAATACTTATGATTTATATGATAGGAAACAGCTTCGACTACAATAAGGTGTAAAATATCAAGAAAGAAGTTATTGAAGGAAGGATCAATAACAGAAGGTTGTCCTGAATATATTATACTAGCATTATTGCGAGGGTAGAATCGATGTCACAACCAGTGCTTCCAGGTAAATGACTTGAACAGTTCATCTGGTTACCTGTTCCATCCTACCCTGAATGGGCTAGGAATACCAAGAAGTTGCAGCTAGAAATTGGAAACTGCATCTGTGCCGTTTGATTCCAATTTTAATTCTTATCCATAAGAGTACAAGAGCATGTTAAAGAAGGGCAAAAAAGAAAATCTTGTAATTTTAGCTTTTTTTTATTTGTTTATGTTCATTCCAACTGGGTAGCTAAACTCATAGCAAAAATAGTTATTGAGCACGATAAAAGCTATTTTTATCTTTTTTTGTAGCAAAAGGCAAATATAGCAAAAAGCAAATGAAGACGTTGGCAACCGTTTTTTTCTATGTTGATTTATATCCGTTGGCCGACATTAATGTTTTTCATTTAAAAGCAGAACCAGTCGAAGGAGGAAGATAACATTTAAGCAAAATAGAAAGAAAAAAACTTATTTGCAAATTTTACCCTTCTTTCTGATTTAGAAACAAGAATTAATCGTTCTCCGGTTAATTAATAATATCGATTGTGTTAATTAACTTAAATCAAAAAGTATATTTACTTAAAGATTTTTTCTATTTTTATTATTTTTTTTGCATATCTTGATTTTTATTTGCTATCTGTAATGATTTTTATTTCTTCGTTATTTTATGTTTTTGATATGAGTTAAGGAAAACAATTTTTATTTGTATGGTTATCTTTGACAAAATTGAAAGGAAATAATGATAGTAGCTGATATTGATAAAAATATAGAGTGAATATTTTAAATTTATTTTTTATTGTCTATTTTAATTTGAGGTCAATTATATTTTATCTTGTTAAAAATACAACTAAACCAAGTGATTAGATTAATTGTATGATTAGATTAATGTTAGAACAAGTAGAAGGCAATTCTTATTATTAATTCACATGTATGGAAATTACAAAATTGTTAGACATTGAATGTGAGCTTCCTTTATACCCTTTTATAAGGTTTTAACTTGATTTTTTTTTTTTAATATAGATGGATTCAAATTTTCTAAGCTCTTTTACCAACTTTCTTATGAGCAAATCAAAAGATATTCTCTCTTAACTAAGTGATTCTAATCAATTAATTAATGACTTAATATACTCGAATTTAAATGATAATACAATAAAAAAATTACAAAGAAGTAAAAACTTCTCACAAGAAGAAGATTGTTTACTTGTCTCCATATGGTTAAATACAAGTAAGGATCTAATTACAGGAGTTGAATAATAAACAAAACAATTCTAGGCCTGCATACATGCTTACTTTGTAGAGAATGGAGGAAACTTGAATAATCGTTTCCAAATAAGCATCTCAAGTAGATGGCAAGAAATAAATAGAGAAGTCGGTAAATTTATTGGATTTGTTACTCAAATTGAAAATAGTTAGTAAAGTGGAATGATCGAAGAATCAAGGGTAATTTTAATATTCATTTCCATGTTAAATTATTTAACATTATTTAATTAATTTATTTTTTTACCAGATTAATGATACTTAGCAAATGTATGCTTCTTGCATTGGCAAACAATTTCAACTAGAATATTGTTGGGTTATCTTAAGAAAAGAACCCAAATGACAATTTAAACGTGTAAGTCAACATCAAAGGTCAAACAAGAAATAAAAAAATCATGTCAATGCAAGTTTGGCTTCATCAACTCTATTTACCCCTGATTCTGTTAGTTCAGGAGAAGATAGTGAACCATTGATTTATTAAGATAGACCAATCGATCAGAAGGCTATAAAGGAACAATTTAAATGTAGAGAAGAAAAAGATAAAGTTAGGGAAGTAACTGTAACAAATCTCTTACAACAATTCAGGGATACTTTAGTTGAAATTGAGGATTAAAAGAAACAAGATAGAAAAATTATGTTAGAGCAACAAGCCATGATGATTCAACAAGTCAAGAGAAACAAGAATTGGAAAGGATTGATAAAGAAGAACAAATTATGAAAATGAATATTTATAATTTGGATCCAATTTCTGCAGTGTATTTTCAAAATAGAAAGTTATAAATTATGCAAAAGAGAGGTTTTAATTTTTAATTAACTTTGATTGATTTATTGTAATGTAATGTATTTTTAATTAAATATGTAGAAAATTCTTTGTTATTTTAAATATATTGTTATGAAATTAATATTAATTCATAATATTTTTTTGAAGTTCCTCTAACACTTAAAAATAATAAGTAGGATTAATTAACTTAAAAGATAACAACCATAATGAAAAGAAAAAAAACATAAAAAACTTGAAAATTAGGATAACATAAGAAGTTCAAATCTAAAGACTCTACTCGTTGCCATATTGTTCCCATAAATGTTCAATCAAATCTTCTTATAGTTGAGAGCTAGTTGCTCTATTCCTAATTCCATTATGAGTTTGAAAAAAATTATGTAGTTTTGGTATTTCACTATGTGACACTGATATAAAGGAATTGACTTTATATTCATGGTCAAATCTAAGGTTCATTGCTCTTTCATCATCAATAATCATATTATGCATTATTATGCAAGCTTTCATAATATATGCAAGCGTTTTTTTATCCCAGTATCGAACAGGTCCATGTACAATTGC